TCTTTTAAATATTCAAGAGCAAAGATGTCAGTTTGAGGACTAAGGTGCACCTGACCTAAGCCATGGTATTCTCAATAGTTTCATATGCATATGAAAGTTGGACAATGAATAAAGAAGACCATAGAAGAATTGATGTACTAGAGTTATGGTGTTGGAGAATATTAACATACCATGGACTTCCAGAAGAACGAACAAATGTGTATTAGAGGAAGTACAATCAGATTGCTCCTTAGAAGCCATGATGGTCAGACTTTGTCTCTCATAATTTGAACATTTTATCAGAAGGGTTCAGTCCCTGGAGAAGGGCATCATGCTTGGTAAAGTGGAAGATCAGTGAAAAAGAAGGAGGTTCCTAATGAGATAGATTGGTGCAGTGGCAGAAGCAATGGGCTCAAGCATAGCAACAATTGTGAAGTTGGCATAGAACCTGGCAATGTTTCATTCTGTTGTGCAAAAGGTATCTATGGGTCAGAGCTGATTTGACAGCACCTAATGACAACAACTACCTAGGATCTTCTAATGTGATCCATTTCAGAACAGTTGGTAGTAGTAGTTGGGCAACATCTGTTCTAGTTTGATGAATGTAGAGATTGAGGTTTGCATGGTCCTCTAATCCAATGAATTAATTGTTTCCATGCATATTTGATTTTCTTCACTCTTTTTTTGCTCCAGACAGGGAAAGATCAATAGTCGCCGTTAGATAACCTCTGAAAAGCTGTTTAGTCGCTACTTGCCAAAGTAGGCTATAGAATATTTTCTTCATGGACTTTGCCAATTGACTTTGATGTCTGAGACTATGGTCCTGAGTTCCCAGACCCAGCATCAGTCCTGTAAACCTGATTAAATTTCAAATTAAACCTTGTTGGCAAGAATCCCAAAATAGATTAGATGAAGTCAAGTGCTATGGAGAAAAAAAATGTATCAGGGAAGTGGGGACTTCAATTATAGTTTATGGTGTGGATTTAATGTTAACATCCCTGCAGGAGACACACAGTATCTGGTGGTTCCACCAGAAATTATGCTAAGATTAACCACTGTATTAGGGCGGTAAAAGCTTGATAAAGTCATTGTACAATTAACTTTTTCACTTAACCAGAATGTAGTTATTGTGGTACACTTAACCTTGATATAGCTCAGGTTCCTCTTCTGCAAATGAGATCATTGAGCTGATTAAATAAATAAATGCATTTAAAGTGCCTGCAGTTAAACCTGTTGCCATTGAGTGGATTCTGACTCATGGCAACTCTATAAAATAGATTAGAAATGATAAGGTTTCCAAGGCTGTCATCTTTACAAAAAGAGATTACCTCATCTTTCTTCTGCAAAATAGCTGGTAAGTTTCAACTGCCGTCTTCTGATTGGCAGCCAGGGCTGCACTATCAGGGCTCCTTTGAAAGTGACTAAAATGTAGACACTTTCACTCCTGGTACGATCCTGTAGGATAAGCATTGGACTGCAAATCACAAGGTTGGCAGTTCAACTCCAATTGTGAATCCTATACGGGATCGCTATGAGCAGAATACACTCCATGGTACTTAACAACAATTAAATATAGTATTGGGATCACGGTGACTCTATATGATAAGCACTGGACTGAGAATCATATGGTCAGCAGTTGGAGCCCACCAATCATTCCAGGGGAGAAACACGAGACTTTCTGCTCTCACCAAGATGTGCTGCCTCGGAAACCCTATATAGGATCCCTATGAGTGGAATTGACTCAACAACAAGAAGACATAGTAACAAATAACTACTATTATTTTGGTTGTAACTCCATCAGAGATTTAGGCTGAAAAACCAAGAGCTCCTATTCTCCAGTTTCCAACGGTTGTTTTCGTTTTCTAAAAGATGAAATGTAGGCCATTTTGGAGTCCTGGAAGTTTGATCATGTTGCTAAAACACTTGTTTTACGGAGAAGTTACTGCTATCAGTGACCCATAGGACAGGCACTGGACTGCTAACCACAAGGTCGGTGGTTCAAATCCACCAGCCTTTTCTTAGAAACCCTATACAGGGTTCGCTGAGTCCAACAAACTAAACAGCACTAAAACCGGACGGCTTAGCATATACAGACAAGCATTTTCACATTTAGTTCTCCCGTAAATCATATGTTGTTGTTATTAAGTGTCCTCAAGTAGGTTTAGTCTGGGGAGCTTCAACTGCCGCCCTTGCAGTTCAAACCGACATAGCAGACCAGTGCCTTAACTCACAGCGCCACACTAGCACTCCAGTAAATCCTGTAAGTAAAAATTATTAGTCATAAATTTCAGATGAGGAAATTGTGACTCAGAAAGATTAATTTGCCCAAGAAGCACAGCTAAGAAGCAGAGGCGTACTGGGACTTGAATCCTGGAGCTGATGAGATTTTAAAAAAGAGATATTATGTGACATGGTTTGCCCCTTAACGCTTTCTTGGTAAACTTTCCGTAATCATCTTATTTTAAATTCAACTCTTCGCTTCCAGTTTGTTTTTCTTCCACAGCACCTGGCTTCATCTAATCAATTATATTATCTATCTTTCCGCACTAGAATCTCACTCTATGAGGGCAGGGACTTTTGTCTGTTTTATTCACTGCTTTTTTTCTCAGCAGTACTAAGCACACGGCAAGGAATCTAGAGCTACTTGTTGAGATAACTTGCATCCGAAAAAGTCCAGAGCCGAGATTAAACTAGCGAGATGAACCTCGTAGGCACCCGTAACACTCCCGCCTTGCTAGATAAAGTGGTGGGGGGGAGCGGAAAAGACAAACCAGGCTCCTCCCTCATCAGCAGATGGCGCCGCGGCGCAGTTCTGCAAGCCGATTGGGCGGTCCAGGCTTGTGAAATCGTCGCACTTGTGTCGTCGATTCCGCGGCGTCGTCGCTTGTAGCGCGTGTCATTTCCGGGCGGCCTAGAACGGGGTAGCAAACGGCCGGCCGAGCATCATGCCCAAGTGAGTGGGGACCCGAAATCTGGGGGGGTGGTCGCAGCCGCTACCTGTGGTCTTGTGGAGGTACAGAGAACGAGTTCTAGCTCCTGAAAGCTTTAGGGCAGGGAGAGAATTGGAGGAAAGACTGGGCATTATAAACACTCGTATTTGAGTGTGGAGGTCGAATCGCTCAAAACAATGATTTCTGTTAGAGACGCTTTATTTGACGACTTTAGAAAAGTATAAGTCTAGTGATTTTGTTTTGGTGTCTTTTGACCGTCAGTGACAAGTACTTCGGTGAATGGGCATCGGTTAGTTGGTTGTCATTTTCTCTTTTTTCTCTTTCCAGGTTTTATTGTGACTACTGCGATACATACCTCACCCATGACTCTGTAAGTGGTTTTCTTATCAACAGTATTTAAAAGTCGTATGTTTCATAAGATGTCTTTTGTTGTTGTTACTATGTGCCCGATTCATAGCGACCCTGTATAGGGTTTCCAAGGAGCAACTCGTAGGTTTCGACAGCCAGCCTTGTATTTAACAGTCCAGTGCTGATACTACAGTGCTATGCTACACCAGGAGCCCTAAGATGTCTCTTTAGGTTTGAGTTCGTCCTTTTCAGCCTGCTGAGGTTTTAGGGTTGTTGCTTGAAGAAAATAATCCAAGGTGTTTATTGTGAATTGAGTGAAGGTTTACAGAGCATATCATCAGTTTTGCATTCTACAGATCATTTCATCTCAATGATTGCTGTCCTTTCAACATAACATCACTTACCTCACTCCATCACTGTGTTACTTGTTTCCATTCTTTCTTCTTTCCCAACCATCTGAATTTTGTCCTTGTGTAAAAGCCGATCTTTTGATTTCGAATGGTTGACC